CGACACCCGGACTTGTGGGGCACCGAGGGGCACCGGGAGCGGAGCGGGCGTGGGGAGCAGCGCGGTGTGCGGCCCCTTTGTGGACAGCGCCTTCCCAGCCGGTCAGGAGGGGCGGCGGAGGTGGCCGGCGCCGGGAGGGTGGATCGCCCGCGTCCGGAGAGGAAGCGCTCACCTGCGTTGGGGACTGCACGGCCGGAGGGCGCCGCGCTCTCGCTCGGGCACGATGGGCTGCACGCTGAGCGCCGAGGACAAGGCGGCGGTGGAGCGCAGTAAGATGATCGACCGCAATCTGCGCGAGGACGGCGAGAAGGCGGCGCGCGAGGTCAAGCTGCTGCTGCTCGGTAAGGGCCGGCGCCGGCCCGGGGCCCGGGGGGCGGCGGGGGCGGGCGCGGACTCCGGGGCGTGCGGAAACCCGGGGGACGTGTCCCGGCCGCCGATGGCGCGTGTGGTAGTGCCCGAGATGGTGTCCGAGGGAGCGTGTCCGGTCCTCGTCCCCCCCTCCTCGGCCGGGGAGGACTCCCCGCGGTGGGCTGGAGCTTCGCTTCCCTCGCTCGCGCTGGTGTGGACCCCCGAGGGCCGAGGAGTGGATCTCGAGACAGCCCTTTTCTTTGGAGTTAGCTCCGCCGTGTGAGGATGAAGGGCACCCGCACAGTAAGAGCCCCCCCACCCTTCCTACAAGGTGCGCTCTCGCGGTTGTGTTTCCCCACGGGCAGGAGCGCCAGGCTTTGTGAAGTCAGCGCACCTTCTGCGGGGCCTCCGTGGCTTGCAGCGTGTCTCCACCGGCGACTCGGTCAGTGTGAAGGGAGCACTGATTGCATTGACCCCCCGTGAGAAAGTAGGCTATGCTGGGTGCTCCATTTCTGTTACTGTGGGGTCCCGGAAACCACCAGAGTTGGTAACATTTGCTCTAGTGAGATGCTCGAGCGGAGAAAGCCGATGGGAAAGGTGCGAGAGGGTCACGCCGAAGACGGCACTCCTGGCCGCCTCACTTTCGGATGGATGAGGTTGGCCAGGTACTCGCCAAGGCTTTCATTTGTTCTTAGCATTGTTCTCTTAGTGAAACGCTGTGTGAAGGTCTTTTCCAGTTGTTTGAAAGGAGAGAACATAAAAAGAGTGAGCCAGGGTTTTGACTGAGGGATACATTAGGAAATATTCACAGCCTAAGATTTGTGGCTGTGAGTTAGGGTTTTCTTTTGTTTGCTTGTTTCCCCCCACACCCTATAGTATTTAAGTAGATGAAAGGTTTCTTACAATCTTAATTTGCACTCTCAGCGGTTGCTTTTAATTTTATAACAGTTATAATAAAAGACAAATATTGCACAAGCTTCTGTTTCATTAGTTTAATGACTGCAGGAAAAATGGTGGTTTTTTTCCTCCGTTACTAGTAGGCTTAGAAGCAGAAACTTGGCGTGACTAAAAGTAATAATGATCTGAGTCATTTTTCGAGCGAACTGTGAAATAACTTTGCATTTTAAAGACCTGGCTGGCTTTCTTCACCCCCACCCCCAACATTAATCTTTCTCAGTTAATACTGTTTACTTAAGTTTTTACATTAATAAGAAATACCCTATTTTGACGAGGGGAGTGTATTTTTAGTGTATTGAGCATAAAAGAGACACACCTTGGTATGGAAACATGTAGATGCTCCTCTTATGAATTGAATGTACTTGAGGCAAAAATGCAAAAAAAATGATTAAAAAGTTATTTTCCTGCAGTTTCTGCACTCCTGCTCTGATATATTATTTCAGTGTATTGTAGTGTGACTCTTAGTTTGAGCCAGCCGTCCACCATGTTTAAAGCAGTTGAAAAATGAACCCTCTGGTGTTATTTTATGCTTTAACTAGATGTCTGTTAGAGAGAGATGGACTGGGATAAAGGTCCAGGAAGTTGGGTTTTGCTTATACTCAGAAGAGATCGGTGTTTCTCAGTCTTAGCACTGTTGGCATTTTGGGTAGGATGCTTCTTTGTCGTGCAGGCTGTCTTGTGCATTGTAGGATGGGAGCATGTCTTTGGCCTCTACCCATTAGATACCCATTGTAGCCCCCTCAACCTGTGACCCTTGAAAATGTCTTCATATATCCCCAGATGTCCTGTGGGGGCAAAAATTAACCTCTGCGAGAACCACTGTTCTAGATTAATAAGTAAATATAGTTGAATGTGTAATGAAGAACCAAAAGTTGCATCTCTATAGCCAACTATAAGAGAGAGTTATGAGAAAGTGTAGCAGAGTCGTGATTTTCAGAAGAAATTGTGGAATTTTTGTTTCTCTGTGCCAGTAATGTCAGAAAGATTTCTAAATGGTTTTTGAAATCTTTAGGTAACTGAGTTCCTTCTGCTGTCTTCTCTGGCTTGAGTCTTTTCCCTGCATCTCTTCTCTGTGTGGAGATTCTGCCGCATTCCTGGCTTGTGGGCCCAGCACGCCTCCTCCTTCCCCTCAGTGTCTGTCTTACTCCCACTGAACTCTACCCTTTTGCCCAGAATTCTAGCACCCTAGTTCCTATAAACAGAATACTGGCTTACTTATTTAGTAAATCATAATTCTTGAAATGTTTGAAAACATTTCTTTTTCCCCTGATTTGACTTTAGCGGGAAGTGTTGACCTTTGGTTCTTTTCTGGATGTTTAACGTCATATATATAAGGAAGTCAGTGGAATCGTTCCATATAAAACACGGCAACCAAATCAACTAGGAATATAAAATGGTTTCCAGGTAATCTGTAACGAGGGTCACTTCCATTTACATCAGGTCTTCTACCTCTTCTATTATTTTGTTTTCTCATCACATGATTTTTTTTTCATTTAAGGCAAAAAGCCTCTAAAATATAATGAACTATTTAATATATGTCTCAAATATATTGCATTTTTCCTTACGGCCTGTATTGTCTTTTTAGACATCTGGGTTGAAAGATTCAGGTATGAAACACACATTATTAGTAAAAAGCTTTGGGTAGTGGGTATCTATTATAATTTTTTTTTTTAAATCAGAGGTATTTCACTATCTTTGTTAGGAGCAGTGAATTAGGTCTTAGAAAAGAGAAGACCTAGTCTAATCATTGGCCTAAAGAAATTAGCTCAGCCTTTGGGTGGTTCAGGTCTTCAGGTTTTAGTATTAGATTCGGTTTTAGGTATTAGTATTAGTTTTCAGGCTTTAGCATTAGAATAATAATCCTAAGTAGAGAAACTTAGTTTAATAATGAAAGTTTTCTTTCCACTGTATATGGCTAATTGTCTCAGGGGAATACATTTTTTATTGTTATATCTTTGACCATGTTACAATTTGTCATCCTTTTAAGGGCAGTATCATTAGGCCTGGACCATTGTTTCAGGGAGATGTTCTTGTACATACGGGTACTTTATTATAATTTTCAAATATCTGAGGAGTTGGATTAAATAAAAGTAAAATGTTCATGAATTAATTCTTCATAAATCACTTCACTCCAAAGCTTTGAGTTTTTATTCTTCTTCACTCTACCTCATTATCCTTCCATCCACTCCACTCCTCCTCGCAGGTAAAAGTCCACAGCCTCATCTCCTCCTGGAGCTTGGTTTAAATGTTCTAGGTCGAGTGAAAATGAGGAGAGGGATTAGATCTCTTCTGCTTGGTGAGTGTTTTTTCCGTTGCTACCGCAACCGGCTGTGTGACAACCTCCATCGTTAATCTTTTCTGTTCCCTGTGAATTTGCCTTATGACTTCTTAGTTGAAAAATTCTGGCATTGCAGGACTTTGGATTTTGCGTTGATTTAGCTATTTCTTAGAACTGGCTCAGGATCTTAGATGTCAGAAAGACTACTTGAATAAATGGACCTGGTATTTCATGGGTTGTCTGCTTCTCTCTGTCTCTTCCACATATTGGCAAGTACTTTGATAGAAGCCACAGGTGGTATTGCAGCATGTTCTGAAACGGCTGATTTTTCTGTATCCTCTCTTTGTTTGTTTCTTTTTTTTCCTGAAGAAGATTAGCCCGGAGCTAACATCTAATGCCAGTCCTCCTCCTCTGAGGAAGATTGGCCCTGGGCTAACATCTGTGGCCATCCTCCTCCCCTTTATATGGGGAGGCCGCCACAGCATGGCTAGACAAGAGGTGCGTCGGTCTGTTCCCGGGATCAGAACCTGCGAACCCTGGGCCACTGAAGTGGAGCGCGAGAACTTAACCGCTGTGCCACTGGGCAGGCCCCAAAGTATCCTGTTTTTCATTCTCACCTCTATAGTTGAGGTTCTGCTCTGCCTCTGGCAGCCTAATTCCAATAGGCTTTCCTGCTTCCCGTCTTTGCCCCTAGCCTGTTCTTCCTATGTAGATGTCATGCTCATTCCTCACTCAACTTTTGCTGGCTTCTCCATTGCCTGCAGAATAAAAGCTTCTTCTACACCTGGCTTCCCTCTGTCTTTATACTCTTCCTCAGGGCACCCTCCTCCTCTAGACAGGAACAGCTGACATATGGGGAAGCATATTTGCACTCCGGCTTCCCGTGTTGTTTAGCCTTATGCCCTGCCTTTTTCCCCACGGGCGCAAGCACTTTACCGGCAGAATCTTTGTAAGCCATCCTTCATGTCACTAACATCCCATTTACTTTGCCATGCGCATAATTAGTTCTTAATTGTGTTAATATCTTGTGTAGGATTAGGACTTACCTAGAATATAAACTTTATGCTTTGCCATTTTCAGTATCGATGGGAATAAATAACTACCCAGCCAAACAAAAAGGAATAGTAATAGTATGTGATAACCAAAATAAGTGTATAGTATCTCAAAGCAAATTGTTTGGTTTAAGAATTTTTTTCCGTATGTATAAGAACTTTTCACAGTCATTATATTATTTGATAAATTAGAGAAAATGACAATGGATAGTCATTGGAGGAGAGGGTCTGCTCTGGTTGTGCAGTTATGTTATTCCTTAAAACATGTTTTTTTGGTAAGAATAGATCTCATTTTTGGCTTCTTTCAACCATAAATAAAGAGCATAAATCTTGTTAAATTTATCGATGATAGGAAATATAATACCTATCTTATAGGATTTAGTGGAAGATTTATTTAAATCTGAAAAAGATTACTATAATTTCTTAAACAAAAATTGAATTTCCAACCAAAATCTTAATTTTTATTTTGTCATGCATCTCTCTTCTTGGAAAATTCGGGGTACCACAAACTCACATGGGAGGACCTGAATGTACTTGTCCCATTTCTAGGTCACATATTTCTTGGTCACATGTTCCGACATGCAGTTACCTAGTGTGTGACTTCCCAGAGTGTGACATTGGTGAAGCGCAGATCCCAGATGGCATGTGATCCATATGAACTGAGGTCAGTGGCACCTAATCAATGTCGTGCTTAGGCTGCTTTCTG